CTCTTGAATTCCTAATTGAGTCTCCGGAACTCCAAAATAATAACCAATTACCCGAGAACAAGTCAAAACAAAGACGCTAAAAGGCTTTAGTCCAGTAGAGCATCTTGAATCATTTTGTAAGGACTTGGAGTCCTAAAGAGGTAAGCCAGAAAAGTGTTTTGCTATCCATATAGTGTAGTAGGGTAGAAAATAATGATGAATTTAATGTTAGCATTGGATGTTAGAAGCCAAGGAATCAGGGTGGTGTAGCGGTAGTCTATGAAATTTTCGCCCCTGGGGCCTTGGATTACATTCCTGGATTTAGCATCAAATGTGAGCACGATCGTTAGGTCTCAGTTTTCCCTCCTCCGCAAATTCCAGGCGGCTTAGGGTTAGGGTTAACGGGTCTTAGTAATGTTCTAATTTCACAAAAATGTATTACAAATATCGTCCCAGAAAGAAAATTTGCATACCTATAGTGTGTCGTGCTCGTGCAATATCTTATACAGAAGAAACATGCGGCAATTGAAATCGAGCTGAATTTTTTAACGGATTGGCAAGGTGTTCTAGCAACTTAAGAAAATGTAATATAGGCTATGTTTGATATTTATACTAGCCTAAAGTCGAAGACTTATTGGAACTGTAGTGTATATGGTACAGAAATATGATTACCAAACTTTAAACCTCATGTACAAAATACAGTATTATGTCATACATGGCGTTTCTACCTATATATTCGAAAATTTGGGTAGAAGGACTGGTCAGACGGAGTTTCTTCATTATGGCAATAGAATCTACAGCGCTACTAACTATCTACTTATTCTCTTGGATGAGTTTTGGTGATTCAGAGATCATAAAGATAGCACCTTCTTTTCAGTTATAATAAGCTCCTGAGTGTTGGTTCGACAAAGGAAATAACCAATGCGCACAACAGAATGATGCTCAAGCAAATGAGCTATCTGAGCGGTGGCTATCAGCATATAGGGGTTCACATAAGGGTTTAGAGATGTTAACGATAGGTAAACACTACGAAGCAACTTCACAAATTGCTTTCCTCTCTGATTTGTTCTATTCTAACAAATGCTAGTATGCTACCTTGTTGCAATAGTATACCTATCAGTAATCTTTGTTTTGGGATTAGAGCGTACCGCCTAAGTAGACTGACTAAGTTTCGAGAGACCTACACTCAAACACACCCAAAATGAACTACGCAATTTGTCTTAAAGAAAAGATTCATCGGTTTCATTCCTTGATATAATTTAAAAATTGACATAAAAAAAAGATAAAGCGAAATAGTGCAGACATAAGTCAGTACGATTAGCCATATGTTTCATAGAAATTAAGGATAGAAACTATGCGTAGGACTCAAAATTGGCGAGAATAATTTCAGTCTGTAGCTCATCAAGTTTTATCTTCGAGACGAACCACCGTTGGAAAAAGCGCCCAATTCAAGCAAATATGACTTATGACTTTTTCTCTCGCGTAATGATCTATCAGTTGTCATATTAGTTCAAATCGACTTCTTTGGAATGAGCTGTCTATTTGAATCTACACATAAAAGGAATTTTATCTCATCATAAGAGATAATCGAAAATGTTTTGAGATGGTAAAACGATTATAGCACTCTCGATTACGACTATCTTATATGCTTTAAAAAGGAGCTAGCGCTATGTCACAGATATGATGCAGTCAAATCTGGTTTATGTTAATCAGATAAGTAAGAAATTGGGATAACAGCGCTAAATACTTTGGTACATCACGAAATGGATTTGATATAATGCTGTCCCACGTTATTTGAAAGATTTACACTGCTACAAAACGTTTGGAATAGCCCTCTTCGGCTCTGACGTAATGTTTTCCCATTTCAGACCACATGTCATTCCCTAGATAATYATTTCTTTGTTTAAGGTTTGCGCTCGGTGGCACATGAGAAGACACATGAATATGAATACAGCTCAAACAAAGAATCTTATTCTCAAGGGAATGACACGTGGTCTGAAATGGGAAAACATTACCCCAAGCCGAAGAGGTCTATTGAACGCGTCGAGCTGTCTAACGTTTGTCTAATGTTACTTCAACAGGTGCTTTATAGGTTTATACACTCCTTAGTGTAAATCTAAAAACATTCATACTCCCTATAGGTATACTCTTTTCGTAATTTTTCGTTGGTAGAATTGGTACAATGATCTTTATGGCCGTCCCTTTTGCCAATCACTTATATAGAAACAGTCAGTGTCATAACGTTGATAATGAATGGTTTCTCATACGAACACAGGATATTTAATTTAGGCTTACTAGAACGAAAGTTAAAAAAGTACTAAATAACAAAACATTAAATGAAAACCTTTTTCTAGAAGCTATAAATTTGTATTAATTTTTTCGAAAGTATATAACTATGTCAACCTCGTTCCCAGGTTCTTCTCTTCTCGCTTTTTTTCAAGAGATGGTGGCGCCTGAAGGGAAGACCTCTTCCTTTATGCGCCGCCAACTTGCGAAAAAAAAAAAAAAAAAAGAGAGAAGAGAAGGCCCTGGGAACTAGGTTGTAACTGTATCGGATTAAGCATGGTTTAGCGCTGGATAGCCGTTTCACACAGATGTATGTGTGCACTATAACAGTTTTTTTCATGAGCGATTAGAACAGAAACTACCAAAGACCCTCCCTGATATAACCATTCTTAATTGAAAAACAGTCTTGAAAACCCTGCCATTGACGGCACTATCTAAACGGCCAGTTTATAAGGACGATTTTTGTAGCGATTTTTGTCATACCCAAGAATAGTAACAGTAACTTGTAAAGTTTTATCCCGGACATCATGATTACCTGAAAATGAAAATGTCTCTTTAAAAGCATAGACAAAAGTCATTATATTTTCTTTAAGAGTCGCAAAAATGGCACCTTAAACCGATCATGCAAAATTTTTCTCTGAAAATAGGGCTTAACATACATACCGTAAACAAATACCTTGTTAATGGTAATAACAAAAATCGATGTTGTATGTGGACGTCAAATATACTGAATTAATGACTAGTGCATATGATATTCTACTGAGGTCAACAGAGCATTTTTTAAAAAAGACCGTTTTGGTTTCATTTGAGAACATAGTTTCCGGAAAAGCTGTTAAGCAAATCGCTTTAAGTAAGAAAGAAAAAAATACCGTGGGAAAGTGAGATCCATCCAAACAAATAAAAGAGTACTTTCTGATTTTTGATAGGTTTTTGAACTGTGGTTGATTGAATGAATTAAGGAACACTAGTTTACTACTACTATTTTGATTTTGATTGCTTTAAAATGTCGTAAAATGTTAACAAGTTTCAAACGGAATTCAATCATACATTTTAATTGTCCATCGGCATTTTAATTAAATATTATCTGAATGACAAAAAAAAAAAAAAAAAAAAAACACTCACAAAGACTATAGCTATTAATTCCTAAGGGGGCAATAAACATGGAATTTGTAATTAGTGCGCACTACATTCAACTATATGAAAAACGTATAGTGGCCGTGCCGTGTCCTATAATGTTAAAGATGCCATAATTTCGTGCAATATCGCAAACGTACCGTGACCGTGCCGTGCCCTATGGCGGAGAAGATTTCGTGAAATCAAGGAATAATATAATGTTAAAGATGTCATAATTTCGTGCCATACCGCGAACGTACCGTAACTGTGCTGTACCCTATCGAGTATATTTCTTGCAACAATGATCGTACGCGTTATATTAATTTTTTTCAAGTTTTCGTGCCATATCACGAGCGAACCATGACCGTGCCGTGCTCTAGCGAGAGTATTTCATGACAATAATAAATAAATATTAAATTATGTAATGCTTTCGTGCTATACCACGACCTTACCATGACCGTGCCGTATTCTATCAAGTAGATTTCGTGACATTGATAGCGTACAATAATGCTAATAGTGTCGTGAAGTCTTCTGTTTTCTTTCCCTACGGGATACCCAAAACAGAGTTACATTGGTTTTACTTCTTTCTACGGGGGGTACCAATAACAAAATGGCTAGCCCAGAAATAGGTCAATGTACCTCCATGTAAATGGTCCTATTTTTAGCACTATTGATGTACAGATGTTATCCAATGATTTATTAACCTGCACGCGTCCAAAGAAAACACCCCTCAAATTACACAATGTTTATACATCCTGCGCAGCTCTCATGTTATTACAACTAATACAGACAAACTGACAAACAGACAAACCTAAACAGTTGAATGGAACTACTACTCCGTCATCTTGTGCGTGGGTGTGCCTAAGTTATGCTTAACATTTTTAATAACCTTAAAAAGACCTTCGCTAGGAAAAAAGCGAATGCTTATAACGCAACTGGTTATAGTTCCTAAGTGTTCCTAAGCCTACGATTTCAAAAATTTACTTGTATTTCTTGTGTGGATATCAGACAATAGTGTCATGCAGGCTTTACTAGACCACCCGCAGCTATAAATACAAATATATACATATATACTTATATAACGGAATTTATGCAACTAACTACTCGCTTAAATTCTGTTATATACATATATACTTATAAGGTCACGTGATAAAGTATTAAGTAATCAGTTAAGAGATTCTTAAGAAGCCTTAGAGCCAACCCATGAAGTCAGCAGAATTTGAAGTGGATTTAAATTACATAGCCAGGATCTGCCTTCGCCTTTAGATTCTTAGCAGACTTGCATACGATTTTCTAGCATGACTTTGACTTTGTTCTTTGCCGCAGCTGTTCGAAGGAAATTATTTGTGGCATTGTTTTTAAACACTAAAATAACAGCATTGATGACTTAAAGATTGAAAAGCCCACTTGATAAAGGTACACGAAATTCGCGAGATAACGGGGCTATGATAGTTTGTACAAGATATTTGAGAATCCTGTCTTATCGTCAGGTATTTTTCTAGATCAGTCCATGACCCAACGACAAGGTTAGAACTTGTATAAGTCAAGATAATTATGCTAAGGTTGAAAAACTGCGCATATTGATTCCCCAGGATTCTAGTGCAAGGTTTGTCTTCAGCCTGACGTATTTTATATATAAAGTAAGTGGGATTTTAAAATCTGGTTATTTCGAGTCAGCATGCTTAGAATATTAATCTTGAAAAAGAGAAGCCATTTCTTGGGTTACCGATTACCTTATCAAGGTCGCTTTTTTCGTGATCTCCGGCTTTAAGTATTTAGGGGACATGTCCCGATAAAACAATCTCCCTGAGGTTATTTTCATGTGCCCTGAAAAGCTGTGTCAAATTAAATGATACGACATTAATATCCTAATTTTAGCCTTGATGTAATACTTAGTATCCTATGTGCGCTCTGTAGGGTGGGTTTATTTTCTCAACCAAAGACTTGACATTCCGTGCGCAACCCTGACTAGCTAATGAAGGAAGTTTCTAGAGCAATTAGCGATAATTAGCGATTCATTTTCAACTATTATATCGTATCGTCTGCTGTTATTCCTATCTAGCCTTAAGTCATCTTTGTGGATGTTGAAAACTGACGAAGTCTAAATAGACTGCTGTGCTGATGGAACACTCAGCATACACAGTCCAAGCCCAAACTTGCATTGTCGGTAAGTGAAAAGAAAACTAAGTTTTTATTTCAAGTTACAACTAAAAAAAACGTTTAGTTTTTGTCGATTTACCACATACGAAGTTTAGTTCGAATTACCATAAGAATAAGAAACTGAAATTAGTGTAGTCTAGCTTTTGATGTGATTGTTCAAGCACGCTTCCTTTCTTAGAGTAAATATTGACATATAAGATGTCGGCGAGTTCCTCTGTAGATGCGTGATTGCTACAGCCACAACTAAGCTCAAAACAGGAGTAAAACGATAGGAGTCAGTAAGACAAATTTGCTAGTTTCGAAAGAGTTTCTCAAATTTGATTTTATTCAAAAACGTAACAAAGTTTGAAGTTTCGTTAAAGCGAAATGAAAGACAGTTTCAGAGGTAAAGAGTAAGCACAAGGGGAAGTTAAAGTTTAGTTCGACTTGTCTGCCCTAACAGTAGGTTTTGTCCAGGTATGCCTAAAAGCTTAATCCTTTATTATTTGACTAGATTTCTTGTGTTATTCAATTGTTTGCCTAATTGTTTAGATTAGACTTGATCTGCTAAGTAAAGAGTAAGATAACTTTTCGTTTTATTCGGTGAAGATTCTACGGTTTCGGTTAGGTAATCTTACTAGATTGGACCGTTTTTTAATTGTTGATTAGCCGGACTTCGTTAAGCAAGGAGTAGATTTTCATTACGATAAAGAGTATGCCATTTTTGTTTCGAAGCTAACTAGTTTTGATCGAAGGTTGACCATTTTGTAATTGTAATTCAGAACAAAACAAAACAAAACAAAAAATTAATAACAAGAAGGAAAAGAGAAAAAGAAAGAAAAAAAGAAAGAGTAAAAGGAGAAACAGGAAATATAGACTTGAAGTATAGTCAAAAACCTTGAACTTAAAGGGTTTTTAATGGGTTGGCTAAGGGCAGTCTTTATTTCAATCTCATCGCACTGATAAAAACATTGTTGCTTATCTTGAGGTCAATTTATTTTTCACGAACATGACCGAAACAACCAGTTGGCGATTTTTAATTGTTTTCGTTTGTCGATCGATAATTCTTCGGCAGGAATTCGGCTTGAATGAAATACTCCTCTACGCCCATTAAAAAAAGAAAGTCTATCAGTGAAATTAGGTAGAGGTTTTGTTGGATGTTGGATGTTGGATGTTGGATGTTGGATGTTGGATGTTGGATGTTGGATG